CTTTTGGGTAATTATCTAATTTGTTCCCAATTCAATGCATTTGTAGAACACATTTTTTATATCAAAATGAAAGGAACTTAATAAATAAAGCAAAAGAGTTTTTATTATCTATATTATTATTAAAATAAAGTTTTTGTACAAAATGTGGATACTTGGTTTTTAACTATGAAAGGATGAATAGCTAGGTGCGCTGTGATAAATATATTTTTTTGACTATAATGCTTTACACTCACTTCGAAATAGTAAAAATGATACATAATTGTTTTTCCAGTTCGACAAGTTTTTTTTCGACAAACCGACCAATTTTTTTCCCATGCATCGCACGTGTAATATACTAGTTGTATAAAAAATAATAATTGTTCATTTCAGGATTTTTGACCCTTTTGCCCCTCATTAATTAATTAATAACCAATTTGTCCCTCCCCCAGAACTATCCACCATCCTGCCCCCATTTAATCGATCAAGTTTCACTTTTAGTCGACTAAATTGACAAAATACAGGAAACATGAAACACGAAATTTAATTGACTAAAAATTCAAGTTGATCGACTAAATTTTGTGAATATTTAATCGACTAAATCATTATTTAGTCGATTAAATTACGCAGAAACCCTTTAAACCCCCCCCCCCCCCCCATTTTCGCAAAGGGGGTTATTTTCAAACCCTAGTTGATTAAGAAGGCCCCAACATACCCTCTCTTCAACCTCCGACCGAATCCCCTCCCCTTGGTCGTCCGATTGCACCATCATTGGTTTACACCTTGTGAAAACTGACATTGTAGGTAACGTTTTTTGACTTGCATTTGGTTTTAAGTTTTGGTTTTTTTTGGTTTTCTCCATTATATTGTTTCTGTTTTTTTTATTTTCTTTTTTATGGTAGAAGGTTGTTTGAGTTTTTGTGGCTTTATGTTAGGGGTAGGGTGTTGAGTTTGATGTGAGGGTTAGGGGTAGGGTTTATGTTTTATGTTAGGGCTAGGGTTAGGGTTAGGGTTTCTGTTTTTTGTTAGGGTTAGGGTTAGGGTTTGTGTTTTTATGTTAGGGTTAGGGTTATATTTTCTGTTTTATGTTAGGGTTATGTTAGGGTTTTGATTTTGATATTGAATTTTCAAAAAAATTTATATTGTTGTTGTCCGATTTATTGATATTGTTTCCATTTGCATTGTAGGTACGGTTGTTAAAATGGCTGGCCGTAGAAGATCGGATGATGTAGAAAATGAGAGACGCACGAAGCAACGACAAGACCGGTCGTCTTTGTCAAGGCCACAAGACGAAGAGCCTGCTCCTGTCGACCTCCCATTTGGATACTTGTTCGAGCATGACCCTTCGGTTCACGATGCATTTATACGTGACCATTTGAACCGAATGATATGTCAGCCGAAGTCATTGGATACATCATTTTTTATGGCGGAGGGATTTAACATTGTGGAATTGTTGGAGGGATCACATCTTAGTGTTTTGGCTTAAATGTTGTGTCCGTATTCAGAGCTGCTGGTGCGGGCCTTCTACCATAACCTCAGCTACGTACAGGGTGAGTTAAGGTCGAGGGTCTGCGGGGTGGAGATCATCATGACGGCTCCAGTATGGTTGAAGATACTGGGCTATGACTTTGATTCTTTGCAGACTGTGGAATATGACGCAGATAGCAGCGTAACACTTCCAAGATATTCACAAGGTGATGCCGTGCAGGAGGCCTGAAATCGGACGTGGGCATAACATTCACTATACGGTGGGGTTGCTTACTGTAGAGTCTCATATACTATACTATGTCATCACCCATATTCTGTTTCCGCGAGCTTTCAATCATTCCAGGGTGTTGGAACATGACATTCCCATCATATGGGCTATCCGACATAGTGTTACGGTGAACTGGAGGCACTATATCTGTTAGATGATGTTTAAGGCCAAACATAAGGGTGCACTTCCATTTGCTTGTCTGGTACAAAGGATATTGGTTCACTTTGGTGTTCCCATGGACAATGTGACCTTGAAGAAGACCACAAGGTATAATTGCAAGTTCGAAAAGCGTCTACTGAAGCAGTGCAAGATGACAAAGAATAGGGCGGGTGTGTGGCAGTTCACAGGCATGGGGGATGTTGAGGTTCCTGATGTTGCTCCACATGCAGACATGGTTGAGCCCGAGGTTGAGGATGATGATGACGACGACGATGAGACTGACTTGCAGGATATAGTTGAGCCTGAGGGTGGGTTTTCATTGCGTGATGTCATGAATGGCATAAACGCCACACTGAAGAAGATAGGAAAAATGGCGCTGAAACATAAAAAATGGAGGAAGAGTCACATCCAGAAAGGGAATGAAAGGTTTAGACACATACAGGGAAGGTTCAAGGGTGTTGAAGATAGGCTTGCTCGTCTAGAGCTTGCACGAGGACAAGAGGTTGAGGATGTTGCAGGGGAGGGGGCTCATGTGTCAGATGAGGATGACGAGGAGATGGCATCCGAGGAGGAGGAGGATTAGATTTAAGGTTTATGTTTTTATTTTACGTTTGTAGTTTATGTTGTTATGTAATTGACTTCGGTCTTCCTATTTGACATTTGTGTTTATGGTTTGTATTATGTTTAGGGCTGAACTATTTAAAGCTATCAAGTTTGTTGTCAAAATCAATCAGAATTATTTATGCTATTTGCAATGTTTACCAAATGAACAAATAATGGTACTTTTCCACTAACTTTATCAATTTGGGTCTAACCAAAGCACAACAGGTCTAAATTGTCCATGGCAACTCAGAACAATCACTAATAAGAGAGTAAAATGAGTTCACCAAGTTTTGGGTAACCTAAACCAAGTATTTAGCCAATACGTGTACATTTAGGCAATACGAATGGCCACGTTGCTTTTTTGTACCCCAAAATGTGGTCCCCAAGTCATACTAAGCCTGTACATTAGTGTACAATCGCTGCCAAAACAAAAAAAATCCGAGCAAAACAGAATGGGGTGCTAAAACCAGTTATTTAGTCGATCAACCTGAACTGGTTTAATCGACTAAACAGTGTAGTCGATTAAACCAGTTCAGGTTGATCGACTAAATAACTGGTTTTGGCACCTCATTCTGTTTTGCTCGGATTTTTTTGTTTTGGCAGTGATTGTACACTAATGTACAGGCTTAGTATGACTTGGGGAACACAATTTGGGGTACAAAAAAGCAACGTGGCCATTCGTATGCATTATTGTGTACGTATTGATTGAAAACGTTTGTGGTGGTTCCCCGAAACTTGGTGACTTCATTTTACAGTCATATTAGTCATTGTTATGAGTTGCTATGGAAAATTTTGACCTGTTATGCTATGGTTTGAACCAAAGTGATCAAGTTAGTGGAAAAGTACAATCCACGACATTGGCTAAACATTAAGCGTCATCAGTTACTAATTTGAATTGCAAGCAACATACAAACAACATACTCCAACATAACATCAACATAAAGTTTAGGGTACATTGTCACATAAAAGAAATACATAAACTAAACCATAAACACATTAGCCCCCTCCCATGGTGTCCACTAACATCAACTTCAGAAATACATCCATAACATTGGTTCAACTCTGTCTAATCCTCATAGGACATGTACGTTTATTGTGACCAATTTGTTTGCAGATGCTACATCTACTCTGACTGCTTGTTGGTTGGGACTCAACCCAATCCATCTCATCTGTATCCTTGAAGACTTCGGTCTTCCTTGTGCACGTACCAAAGATGCATTTGGGATAATAATTGGACCATCTATTTGTGGAATCAACAACTCATTACCCATTGGATACCAATGTGCAGCATAGACCTTCTCAATTTGTGTAATTGAGAACACAAGATCGACATAGTCATAATGGTTCAATTTTTCTACCTTGCACACCGCTAGCACGTGACTGCAAGGAAATCTTCTAGCTGTGAACCGTCCACATTGACATTTACGATTTAGCAAGTCCACCCTCATTATGTCGTCGGCATCATACGTAGATTGATTGTAGGCATCCTCAACTTCAAACAACTGCAAGTCTCTATCAAAAATAGAAACCCTAACCCTAACCCTAACATAAAACATAAACCATGCCCCTAACCCTCACATCAAACTCAACACCCTACCTCTAACATAAAGCCACAAAAACTCAAACAACCTTCTACCATAAAAAAGAAAAGAAAATAAAAAACAGAAACAATATCATGGAGAAAACCAAAAAAAACCAAAACTTAAAATCAAATGCAAGTCAGAAAACGTTACCTACAATGTCAGTTTCACAAGGAGTAAACCAATAATGATGCAATCGGACGGCCAAGAGGAGGGGATTCGATCGGAGGTTGAAGAGAGGGTATGTTGGGGCCTTCTTAATCGACTAGGGTTTGAAAATAACCCCCTTTGCGAAATAGGGGGTTTTTAAAAAAGGGTTTCTGCATAATTTAATCGACTAAATAATGATTTAGTCGATTAAATATTCACGAAATTTAATCGATCAACTTAAATTTTTAATCAATTAAATTTCGTGTTTCATGTATTTTGTCAATTTAGTCGACTAAAAGTGCAACTTGATCGATTAAATGGGGGCAGGACTGTGTATAATTTTAGGGGAAGGACAAATTGGTTATTAAGGCAAAAAGATCAAAAAACCGTTCATTTCATTGCCTCTAAAGTCATAAAGTAGAGTGAAAATGCTTAGTTCGTTGCTAAGTGGTACCGCAGTGGCAATAATTTTAATTTATTTTTAGTTTTGATTGTGGAGTTATATATTCACAAGCAATTAATAAAAACAACTAGATATTGATGAACTTTCATCAAGACATGAAGTAAATTTCTTCTTTCAAAATTATTTTATGTTGAAGATCAATATGCAAAATTCTGAAGGTAGCTAATCATTTCATTCTTGAATCTTAAAAGGTCTAACTGCTGCAATAGAGAGTACATATATATATATAAATTACCCCTAGTTGATGACTAAAGTTAAACAATCCAACTACACACACAAACTTTGTCCGTCAACATTGCATTCCAACAAAAAGATTCCTAAGAAAACAGAAATGCCCCCAAATTTCTGTCTAAATGGCCTTGATTAGTTTTTTCCTACCCCTTTTTTCTGGAGAATTCACCTCAGTCAGAGGAACAATCTCCTCAACAACTCTGAAAATGTTCACATCCAAGATAAATGTGTCGTTGATTTGGCCTGCTGGTGTAAACACACAAACATCATACTCTTCAAGGTTATTTTCCAAGGAAAAACGTTTCCACCCACCAAGAAGTCCTCCCATTTGACGAAAATTACGAAAGTTGTATCTGACAGTCCATTCAGCATTACCCATGCGTAATATCACATCTTGAGATCTTGGAGAGAGATGTTCTATTATCCACTTATTAGGGATTGACTAGTCAAAACAAAGGGAATACATTTAATAACAATGACTAAAATTACAACACAACAGCAGAAATTTTCACAATAAGGCTTTTTAGCAGAAGATATAAACATAAAAACTACGTTTAAAGGTAAAGATTGGAAGGCAATTGTTTACCATGAAGAATCTCCTGTATACGTGTGTCAGTCGCATAACTACGTACAAACTGTCAATGGAACATGTTTCCTGGGCCAACTGGAGGGCATTTTTCTTCTCATTTTCTGTGATAGGTCTTCTATTTGAGGTATATAGTTCATTTGTCCCAGTTTTACCCCCGGAATCAAGTTCAGATTCTACATATGTGATCAACATAACATACCATATCAACAAACAGTCTAAATATTGACTCAAACAGAAATAAAAGTATATGCAAAAAAACCAAATCCTAAAGAAAGAAAAATAATTGTTTTCAATTCAGTTATTCTTTTTTATCAATTTTGCTAACTGGGAAATCCGAATGTCTTAGATTAGATATAAAACTGCAGTTAAGTGCCACAACACTGGGTTAAAACAAGTAGACAAGAAGCCTATGCAGGCAATAATGGCTATCAAATCAATGTCCTGCCCAAGCACAGACCAATCAGTCCATATTTGTTGTAGAGTTCAGTGCACATAACAAATCTCAACAGCCAACTTCTTCCCAAATATCTCTCCCCACACAAGCTTGTCATGTCTTTTATTATTATTCTTATTATTAGTACTACTATACTTCTGCTCCCCATACATGCACACCTTCTCCTCCCACTTTATGCCATTACCTATCTGTACTATGAGAAAAAAAAACTCTAAAGTGAGTTTGTTTTCAAGTGTACAAATAAGAATATATCCATACCAATTTAGTTTAAAGCAAAAAGTGATATTAACTCACTAAAAACTGTGTACTTTAGAAACAAGCTTATCCATGTATTTGGAGTTGGAAACCTTTGAAAATGTTGTGGCTATCTAAATTCAAAATTTGTCACAACAATAAATTTTATGGATTTAAGCTCTTTGATGATAAAATATGTTCATAAAAAAGCTGTAAAGATATTTCTTTCCCTTTTAGACGAGTAAATATGTTACCAGTCACCGAGTTAAGTGCAGTATCATGAGAATTGGATACTTCTGGCAGTTTTCCTCTCTGCTTAATCTGGACGTGCTTAACAGCAGAAACTACCTTCCTGGTCCTTTTACCGTTAGGTTGGGAGGGAACAGCTGCAGGCTCGGTAAATCCATCAGCCATGACTTCCTCAGGGCAAGCTGATTCAACTCCAGCATTGAAAGTTTTTTCAGTTGGAGTTTCCAAGGGTACAGCTAATGGCACTTTGTCACTGTTAAGATGCACATATTTTTTAGGATAAGCACATTCAACACCAGCATTGAAAGTTTTTTCAGTAGGAGTTTCCAAGGGTACAGCTAATGGCACTTTGTCACTGTTAAGATGCACACATTTTTTAGGATAAGCACATTCAACACCAGCATTAGAAGGGGTATTAACTTCTTTCAAGGAATTATCTACATCTCTTCTCTTGCTGAAACATCCACCCCAATCTTCAGCATGCCCACATTTTTGAACAAAATAAGAAGCTGCCTTCTCACAGTAGCTCTCCCCATCAAATATTAAAACATCAAACAAAGATTCACCATTGTACTTGAAGACAAGGAAATCATTCTCTTTCAGAGAGTGATCCTTCACAAATTGTTGCCAACCGTCCGTGAAGTACAAGGTATCATCTCTAGTCATCAATCCTATATTCCACACAATCCCACTAGGACCTCTAAGGGTCACATTTCCTGGCAGTTTCTTTAAATTATCGGAAAATGTTTTAGGGAGTGCCTGGAATCAAAATTTAAATTTCATCAATGAGAATAAGATACAACAGGACATTGGTATATATAAAGAACCAATTCAACCCAAAAGCTTAAGTTGTTGGGTGAGACTACATTAATGGTTTTATATATCTCTAACACACCACCTCACAAGAGAGTCCATTGGGCTTGAAAGATGGATGATGCATTAGGCCCAGCCTACCTGTGCTAAGAAATTCCATATAAAAAATGAGGGCCGGTGAGGATCTAACCCGGGACATCGAGGCTTTGATACCATGTAAAGAATCAATTCAACCCAAAAACTTAAGTTGTTGGATGAGGCTACATCAATGATTTTATATATCTCTAACAGAATAAAATATACATGTAAGACTAATCATAATCATTTGATTGAGAAACAGCCACTAATAATCTCAAGTATAGCTATTAGCTAGCAATTTCAGAACAAGTAACAGAATTATAAACCAAGAACAACCACATAACAATCTCCTTATTCACTCTCTTTTCTTTTCCTTTTGGTCCCTCAGTCCCTCTTACCCTCACTAAAGAAACATCTACAAACATTTCCACGCCCCACAATCATTATCATATTAAGGTGCATGCATGCTTCCTCTATTGCAATGTAAGCTTAGAAAACAAACCCCCAAAGAAACGCCAAGGCCTACCAAAACAAAGTGCCTCGAAAGCAAAGCACAGATCAGAACAAAGGCTGCACTGATTTCGAGAAGTATTCAGGTCACAAATTCTAAGTCATTAACTTCAAAAAAAATGATAATAGATAAAGGAATAGTAAAAGGGTTGATTGTTTCTCATAATCATAATTTTATCTCCATACACAAAAACATGTGGGGCACATATTTTTTACTTTCTCATTCTTCTCCACATATTGGCCCACACACCCGTACATTTTTATGTACATGTGAGAGATCGAGATAAATTTATCTTTTATAATATTAAAAATGTGAAAAAAAGAGAGAGGACAAGTTTAAATATTTGAGAGTAATGGGAAGAAAACAAAGGAGGAGGCAAAAGATTGTGGGCAAGAAATGCATGCAGCATGCATTCAAACAGAAGAGTGTGGGCAAGAAATGCATGCATTCAATCCACACGTTCCGTACCTCTACAAGACTTTTATTTCTTAATTTAAAACATAAAAGGTAAGGGAAAAGGGGAAAAGATAGAAGTACTAACAAGTTGTTGATCGTAACTGCCACGGAGAAATTGAGCGAACTGCAGGAATTGAAAATGGGTCCAGTAAATTTCGTCCATCCACGATCTGCAGCTACGACAGTTTTCTCCTCCCATTGTAAGCCAAAAACACACCAAAACAGTTCACAAGAAGCTGAAGCTCAAACGCAGAAGCCAATAAGAAACAACCAACCCAGCAGAGAAGCTTGGGTTACTGTCTGGAGAAATGAAGAGTTACAAGTTAAAGTTGCTGTTTCAAGGGTTTTGCTCCAGTAATGACCGCAATGTGTCGGACACGTGGTATCTGTCACTTTTATCCTTTGTCAGTTATTTTTTTTTTAATAATAAAAAGGATTGTAGAATATAATTTTAGTGTAAATATTCTTTTTGTTCTTCAATAAATTTCACGATACCTATTTTAGTATCTAACAAATAAAAAGGCTATTCGTAATTTTTAAGAAATTCAAAATGGACTCACTTAGTTGAAAAATTATGGTCAATCACAAATTCAAAAAAGACCCACATTAATCCCTCAAAAGGACTAAAATGAGTCCATTTTGAATTTCTTAGGGATCATGAATAGCCTTTTTATTTGCTAGAGACTAAAACGGACATTGTAAATTTTGCTGAGGACCGAAAAAGCTATTTACTCAATTTTATTTTTTATATACTAAAAAAATGTATGGAGATCATATCATGCTTACAAATTAGAATCGTTGATCTTTTTTGATCAAACAGTTCTCAGATGAAGTGTCAAACTTTAAATTTGACACGTGTTTCAAAGGATTCTATATATATATATATATATATATATAATGAGAAAAGTTGTGTCATTTTAAGTGAGATAAAAAAAATAGATAAAAGGAAAGAGAGTGAACAAAAAAAATGTGTGAGTCCTACCTCTTTATAAGAGTAAAATGATATAACTCGTGTCATTTAAAACACAAATATTTTTTTCATATATAATACTTAGTCCATTCATTTTCGGTACAGAATCTTTTATTACTCGTACTTAAATTTTCAATATATATTAAGTCTATTTATTTATTTCTCTTTAAAATAATTAGATCGTAATCTTAACTCATATATATCCTTTTTCTTTACTTTTAATATTATGATCTAACAATATTAAAAAAAAAATTAGCCGTGAATAAAAATAAATATAATATATTGTCTCAATAAAACAACATGTGAGTCATAATTTAGTGTTGATTATGCGTCTGTGACTTTGTGTTGGGATTTTCTTTTTTGATTAATTATTTTTATTATGATATTTTAATATTTGATATAAGTCTAGCGAAATTTTTAATTTTATTTTTTATTTGAATAGACTGACTCGTCAAAGAATTTGACAACTCTATGTTAAACTAATTAATAAATAATTTGAAATATAAAATATACATCATCATTTTAAAATACAAAGTATGTCATATTACAATTTATGGATCCTCTCATATGAAAAAGTGATCATGTGATCATATGTTATTTGATCATAATCACTCATTTAAAAATTATATATTTTTCTCTCTAAAAATTATTTTTTTTTCTCTCTTATCTCATCATCAATAAATAGTTATGATCAAATAACATGACTACAAAATCACTTTTTAATATGAGAGTATCCATTCCCAGAATTTATATAGTCATTTACGAGGTGAAGTTATATTTATTACTTCCTCATCCTTAACACTTTTTACTATCATTTTATTATCAAATGAACCGCTTTCTCCCATCCTTCATTGTTTTTGGGTTCCCAAAAATTCAAAGCGCGTTTTTACCCATTTGATTGCACAAAATTTTCTCACAAAATATTCAACAGGACTCACAAAACAAAATCAGAAGAGTACATGCTGATACAAATTCACGCATAAAAATTGAACAGATGTGGTGTTTGAAGAAGGGGTGCACCAAAAACAAAAAACACTTTAAAAGAGAGGGTCTTCAAATCACGAGGCCATAATCTGACAGCCATTGGCTATGAACCGAGCATTGGGAGAGAAACAACATGCACCCATTTTGCTTGTAAGATTTAGTGAACTCCATGGATTAGTAAAAGACAATTTTAATGTATTTTATATCTTTAATTATTGTAATCATTCAATTTTTTAAACACCTATTTCATCATGTTTAGTTTTGTTTAACTCTTATACTAAAATAATTTTTGAGATTTATTATTCTTATGTTACGTAAGAAAAAATTTATCTCCTACACACACAAATTCAAGATGGATCTTACTCTACTTTTTCTCTCTCTTCCCTCAAAAGTGGATCTCACTTATACAAATGAGTCAGTAGGAGATAATTATTATCTCCTACTACATAAGAAAACTATTACCCATAATTTTTATTGCAAATGCATTTTTAATTTTTAGGAACCCGAAAACAACGAAGGATGAGAGAGGGTGAAAATAAAAGGTGTAAATTTTTTTACTTTTTAATAAGAGGCAAAACAAAGGTAAGGAAATTATGTTAATTATACACAATGTGTAATTCATATAAGTTAATAGAATTAATTTATTAATTAATACTATATAATTTATGAAAAAAGTATTTCTCCAGTCACCGGAGATAAAGTTATCTCCAGTGAGCTCAAAATGATGTCGTTTTGGAGTTATAAGATTAAAAAATTATAATGATAAAGACTAATATAACCCTACAATATGTTATAATTACAAAAATATCTTAATTTTCGCCCCAAAACGACGTCGTTTTGGACTCACTGGAGATAACTTATCTCCATTGACTGAAGAAATCATTTACCCATAATTTATATGTAAGTAACTTTTCCTTAATTATTGTACCCAACAACAAAAAACTTTTCCTTAATTACGATATGAAACCACACGGAAGGTCAAAGAGTAAAATGAAAATACTGTGTTTTTAATTAGTCGCAACAAATTATAGCACCGTATACCATCCGCAAGCCAATGGGCAAACGGAGGTCGTTAACAGGTGTCTTGAGGCTTATTTACGTTTCTTTTGTTGTACTAAACCAAAGTGTTGGCCTAAATGGGTACCTTAGGCTGAGTATTGGTACAACACAACATTCAAGGATGCAACAGGTATGTCTCCCTTTAAAGCTTTATATGGAAGAGAACCCCCTACCTTGTTCAAGTGTGGTACATTTGTCTCTTCTGTGGATGCTGTCTGTAACACCCCGTATATATCCGGTAATGTTATCATACTATCGTATTAAGCAGCGCTTAATTAAAAATACGGAATATCTTTTTCTTTTCAGTTATGATGTCATTATCATTACCAACTTGCTTATTAATCAAATAATAAAACACCGCCTGTATGTAATTGCAATAAAACAGCTAACTGAAATACCTCATAACATAGATAATAAAAGTGTGGCTCTAGTCACGGAACTACAACAACGTAGACCGGACCATCTAACAGTTTATACAACTCCAATCTAAAGGTACTAACATAAAGTGTCATGGACAATCCTCATGCTCATCCAAATAAGGCAACACGCCCAACATCAGTCTCAACAACAACATAAACATAAATAGCAGAAAACATAAACAGCATCCATATCCAGTCAAAGCAGCAATACAACATAATATCATCAACTAGCTCTGGCCTCCTGCCGCCAAAGGCATCAGTCACCAAACTACCGGAACCTGAAATAAGCATTCCCCAAACGTGGGGTGAGATCTCTAAACAATAAATCTCAGTAAGGCAAGGGGTCCTCAAGGATCTTCCACCCCAAGCTCACTTACATGTGCAATATAAGTTTAAAAGCAGTTCATCAGTATCATTTCTAAAACAGTGCAATGCAGCAGAAATCATGTCATGTATGTCAATTCTATTCTACTGGCCAGAGAAATGCATGATTTATATACGTCTAATACCCACAAATAGTGCAAGACGCTACTTACATCCACCCCGGATCATCGTCTTGTATTACGCTACATACTCAGGCTTACCGTCAAGATGGAACAACACATGCATATTAAAAGCCATTACACATAAAGCTCAACAGCATTTCAAATATCCAAAGCATGTAACACAGCATGCATATAACCATACCCCCATGGGACATGGTGGAACCACAACATGGCTAAACCGAGGACACGAAAGCTTACCTTGCAAACTAACACCCAAAGCCAAGAGTCCACAGCTCAAAGTCCAAACACAGCAGATTCACAATCTGTTATGGACCAATACTATATCAATAATAATGCACCACAAGCATATAACTTAAAGACAACGCTTTTCCTTACGTTTTACGTCTTAAGGCTCCATATCAAGCCATAAGCCCTTAATCACTTGATTCTGACTTAGTTCATTAGTTACAGAAGTTCAACTTCATCAATCTAGGGTCCACAAACCTCCAATAGCCTACTGTACACACAGCACAGCTACTGTTCTACGAAATCCCAGAATATTCGGATATTCTACGGGGCATATCCGGATATGCAATATCCGAATATCTCACTTACCATATCCGATATACAATATCCAGATTCCCATATCCGGATATCCAATATTCGGATATCCAGATTCCCATATTCGGATATCCAATATCCGGATATCCAAATCTCATATCCGGATATCACATATCCGGATATTTCTCGGGCACATATCTAGATATTTCACGACAGAATGCAAAAACTGCATTTCATGAAGATATCCTTCCAAGGTTGGGGTTTTACTTATTTTAAACACCTAAACATGCATTTCTAGGTGTGTTTGACCAACCCCAACATTAAGATATCATCTTTTAACCTTTACATGCATCAAGGTTCCATTTTTAAGCATAAAACTCATGATCAAAGGGTGGTACAACATACCAAGGCTCAAAACAGAGGAAAGAGGTTACTCTTGGAGCTCACAACCAGCTCCTAAACTCTGACTTGTACAGAAAACGAAAATGCTTTCACAATGGTTGGTTCTTTCTCACCAAAGGTCACCACTTGGACCTCAAAGTGCCATAACCAAGGCTCACAACACTCAACTCACAAACTCAGAACCTCTCCACCTCACTCACAGTGACAAGAACTGAGAAAAGCCCTCACACTCTCACACCAAGCAAGCTCTCACAAGCCTCAAGGTATTTGGAGAAGAAACCAAGGAGAAAGGAAGCTCCTTGGCTCACCACAATGGAGG